TGTAACTTCATTTATTTCTTCGCAGGGTGGAGGGATCCTATTGATTTTACATGCATCTTGATATGTAACTCCGGCATGTATTCTTTCCAGGAATTCAGTCAAATTCTATAAATTATTTCAGATATGTTTGACAATTACCACTAGCTGTTTTGTTTGTGTCTATAGGCACACATATATTCCTCTTGTCTCCATCTTTGATGGATGCCTACAGCATCATGCTTTTAGTTTTCACTAACCTCAGTTTTTGGAGCATCCTGTAACTTCCTTTATTTCTTCGCAGGGTGGAGGGAGCCTATTGATTTTACATGCATCTTGATTTGGTATCATGTATACATGAGATTCGTTAGTTTTCATATGTACAGTCTACTCTGTAAGTTCCCTTCCCATTGTACCCTTATGCTCCAACTTAGCATGCAATGCATCTCTCCTTATATTTAGTTTTTATAAGAATTTATTATATAGTTTAGCCTATTAGTGAATGTGTTTACTTTATGCATTGGTATGTGCAGATAAGATAAGGGTTACTTATTCCTAGGCATGTAATTGGCTTGGTCATTTCAGATTGTAAGAGAAGATTTCAAAGCTATGCTTCCAATACTAAATATATTCCTCGTGTCCATGTGTGAGTATAGTAAGAACAATATGTGTGTTTTCTCAAAGCTACGGTAGTGGTAGCAGCCACATAGACAAACTGGAATAGAGTAAACACATCCTTCTCTCTTTACGTTTTATTTCTATTTTTTTAGAAAAGGAGGAATACCCCGGCCTCTGCATCTGGACGATGCATACGGCTATATTATTAATTATTAACACAAGAACTTACAAAGTCGTACAACAGTAAGACCAAAGCCACCGTCTAAGCAACATCTGTCGCTACTCCTATCCAGTTGATGAAGGGGTGCTGATAGTCTGGGCCTAATACCAAACAGACCTCGCAACCAAACCTAACATGTAAGACCTGAAGTCCCAACCAGGACGTCTGCCGGGTATGGGCATCCACCAGTCCGGCGTGCTCCTCAACCAGGACGCCTGTCGGGCATGAGGCCGCCGCAGCCACCTGCCACAAATCCATCTTCAGAGCTGTACTGCTGCATCGACCTTGCCCGGTCTAGCTGCCGCGGACGCCACCACAACGCCAGACAGCGTCGACCTCCTGCGCGTGTCCATCACCACACATCTGACGTCAAGCCTCCGCTGCTCCATATGCCGCCAAGAGCCGCCGCCATGAATATGTAGAAAGAAACACCGCTGCACCGAAGAAGCCATCCGCTGGTCCCTCGAGCCTGAGTGCATCTCCAAGAATGCCGCCCCGAAGGGGGTAACGACACATGAATGCCGCCGTCATCCGATCGACTGATCTAGGGTTTCCCCCGGAGGTATTGGGTGGGTTTGGGATTTGTACCTCGATGATGCCTTCATGAAGGAAACGATGATAAGGGCATCCTCATCACCGGCTCTGGCCTACGAACGAAGACCAAGTTTTCACTCGGCTCCGTCCCAAGACATCCACCCAACAACCCGTGCACTATCTCGACCGCCTTCAAAGCCCCAGATCTAGCCGCCTAGATCCCGCGACCAACCGCAACGGCAGTGCCACCGTAGGAGCCCTGTCACACCGGCCACTGCCTGAATGCGCCACCACCGGAGCCTGGGAGGAGGACTCCCACTCCACCTCGCCAAACCGTGAGAGTCGCCGAGATCGATCCCGCACGCTCATCATCGTCTCTGATCTGAACCAATCCGCGGAAAAACCACGAGATCGGCGATGCAAATCCGCCTTGGATAGGGACAGCACCACGCCATGCCGTCGCGGGAAGCCCGAGCTTCACCCGCCGCCACCTTCCAGGGCTGCCGCTCCGGGATCCAGCCGCCGCTGACAGGCCGAGCCGCCGGCCACCGCGACCAAGGCCGCCATGCCCACGAGCCCATCGAACAGCCGACGCCACCAGATCTTCCTCGGAGCCGCCGCTCCGCCTCCCCGCCCAGCACCACGTCGCCGCATTGCGCCGTCGCCTAACGCGCCACCACGACGCATATCGGGGGAGAGCGCCCCTGCGCCATGGGTGACCCACCTCACCTGATCTGGCGCGGGAGGGAAGAGAGCCTCCGCCGCTGCCATCAGCCGCCCGGGGCTTTGCCCGGCGACCTCCTCTAGCGGCGGCGGAGGGGAGGGGGAGGATGGACGTGCCCGGCGGAGGCGGCTAGGGCTTTCACCCGAGCCTCCCTAGCGGGAGGGCGACGCGGGGACCAGGATATAGGCAAGCATGGAGGGCGTAATTCATAGGAGGCTCGTGATGGCACACAACAGTGGAGGGGAGGAGATGCAAAAGGAGGATGTCGAGAAGCGAGGCAAAGAAAAAGCAAAGGACAGAGAATCCCTCTTCATTTCGTGGATCGTTAGGGCATCTCCAATGCGGGCGCTACTGCCCGACGCTAGGATTGTTTCCCTGTCCGTTACGTTCAATTCCTGGCTGATCCAGGGATTTTCTTTGGCGTCGATGCTAACTGACGCGCCGGGCGCTACAAGAAATTTTTCACGTATTAGGACAGGAAGAATCGGCCCACGCGCCTATTAGACCGCTGCTACTGTTGGAGACATGGACTCTTGCAAAAACGCTAGGAATTTAAATCATTTGTTTTAGCTTGTTAAGCGCCTAAGCAAGCGCCTTCCATTGGAGATGCCCTTATGGGTGTGCTCTACCCACGTCGCCTAGAATGTGGATGGAGCGCTCAGTATACTAGCATGAATCAGGTAATTTACGTATCACCATCATATCATTATACTATATATTTCCAGTATATTGCTGCATTAAGGCGTTACTAAATCTTTGCCAAACGACATCAGGAAAAAAACTTAAAGTTTGAAAAATAAGATCTACATGTAGTGATAATAGGATGGGGATATTTAGAACGTGATGACAAACTGCGACAGAGAGATGTGGGGTGAAGCGGCGAAGATGAGAGGTTCAGAGACAATATGATGATGTGCCGACAAGAATGACATAGCATTATTTAAGCCGGCATGAGCATGCACTTCTAAGAATAAGTTGTTTGATTATATATTTTATTGCTCCGTGGCAACGCACGGGCATACAGCTAGTATATATATATATATATATAAAGAGAGAGAGAGAGAGAGAGAGAACTGGTGGCCATTTTTCACACCATCTACTCAAGAGTCGCTGTTACAACACATTTTGTTGTTTCATCACTGGACCCTGTCAGAACAACAAAAAAAACTGCGTAAGTATCTATTTAAAACCACTCTTGTTCTATAAATTGAACGGTGTAAGCTACTATTGATTGAAGGAACAGATTTTTCTTTGCGTGAGCAAAAGATCAAATCAATTCGAAAACAAGAACCACGAACAACAATCATACATTCATACTGATTGATTAGATCAGTCCTTTTGAGAGTAGACTGTAAACTTAGTGCACACTCTGCAGATGCAGTGTGGCCTAAGTGAACCGGCATCACATTACAGAAATTTCCTAATACAGGTCACGGTCTAATAACAATTGGAAGATAAAAGCTCTGTAGGCATCACAGTGGCTCTATCATGCGATAGTTTTTTTACCCAGATACTCCTGGTTCTCGCATTGTATTTTGGCGACGTCGCCAGGTAGAAAGGATAAACTTTGATGCAAAATCTAAGCATGAGGTTTGAGCAAACAAAATCCTATCAGAACTACTACCTCCGTTCCTTTATATTCCGCATATAAGATTTGGGTCACGTCAAAGTTTGCAAAGTTTGACCAAACTTAATACAAAATATCAACATCTACAGTACCAAATACTCCCTCCGTCCCAAAATAAGTGTCGCTGCGATGAGACTACATTTCATAATGAATCTACTGATGCTGATTTGGTATTGCGAACATTGATTCTTCTTTCTATTAGTTTGGTCAAATTAGAGATACTTTGACTTCAGACAAAAACTTATATGCACAATAAAAAGAACAGGAGGGAGTACAATGTACAACAAAATTATGAGGTTCACAAAACACAACTGGAAAAAAGATGCAATAAATGGATAGATATATCTCAAAGATTTGAGAACATAGAAAGATAGGAGCAAAGCATTAAAATGGTAAATATTTGTCAAAACAAAAAACAGAAGGCCACCAATACTGAAAACTTCACACAAATCATACAGTGGGTATGAACAAGTAATAAACAGAAGTCTTCCAGGCAAATAAATAGTCTGGCCATATTTCAGAGAAGTGCAACATTTACGACTCCCACACACATTCCAATTCTGGATTATGGGCCTCCAATCCAGGGACTTCTGTATTAAACCATTCTACTAAATTACTATGTCAAAGTAGACCATGATTAATGAATAATCATCACTTCTGTCTTTGCTCATATAGGCTGACAAAATCACAATTGTAATTATGGTAGGTAGTTAATTCCTCTAACTAAAAAACAGTAGTTATACGATATATTAGGCTCATATAATCGCTGAGTCATGTTCGGATAGAATTATATATCCATACAATGACAGAGATTTATACAGAACTTCTAGCAAGGAAGCTACATGTATGGGCTCAAAACTATCACCAGGCCACAATTTGCAGGTAGGTATTCTACAACAATTAACTACACAAATAAGACAACACTTTTAAGGTCCTCATGTAGTATGCACGTAACCTAACAGCATTGTCCTGGGTGAGGTGATGAATATGATTTGCATCATTAATGCAATTGAGAAGTGATTGTTTAACTGAATCTATGAAACTAAATATTAGTGATTGTTTGCAGAAGATAATGACTATTATGCAAGATCAGACTGTAAAACCACTAGTTTGCAGACTGTAAAACATAAACAACTGTATGCAAGGTGGGTCACACAAGAATTAGTAACATATCCACACTCTTGCTATTGTTATGCAAGATCAGACTGTAAAACCACTCATTTGCAGAAGATAATTAGACCTGGAAGAAACAAGGTCACACGACAATGAACAAGTGTTTATACACAAAAAAACATTACCGGCTAAACTGCAGCCTCAGTCTGGCACCCAAAGCCTTCTGCCAACCTTGGCTTCTTGCAAGCTCGTCCACCTTCATTAGGGACTTGAAGCTGTCCATCAGTTGCAGGTTTATTATCATCAACCATCAACTCAATAACTATTTAAGTTATAAAGCTTAGTCACAAGAAACAAGTAAAACCACCGAGGAAATCAAATGCAATCTAATAAATTCTGCCAGACCCGAATCTTAGTCTTCTTAATATGCGGAATTTATATAAATTTTTCTTACCTTCAGTGTCTCCTCATCTACTCCTTCACCGTCCTCGTCATCTTCAACTTCACTGTACTCATCATCTTCAACTTCACTGTACTCATCATCTTCATACACATCATCGTCAGCATCTGCATCCACCTCGTCATCCTCCCCCTCGCTCTCCTCGCCCTCCTCTTCCTCGTCCTTGGCCTTGGACATGCCTTTATTGGGGAATGTTCCAAAGGCATTAGGCTTCTTGAATTGTTCCACATTCTGAATACATATTACAATGGTGTATGTTAGTTTTTTTATAGCGGATGTAGTTCAGGGAATAAATGAGTGTACTAACTAAAGGGGAAACAAGGATTAAGGTTGGACCCCGACTGCAGTTCATATGATCGAACCTAACCCTCCCCGCGTAGATATGATCTCCCCCATCTTCTCCTGCGGCTACCGCTGCGGCATACACGCGGACTTTGCCCTTTAAGAAGATCCCGAACAATAACCACTACCCTCGCCACTGAGGCGTCGACCGAAGGCCAAAGCTTCAAATCCTAAAGAAACATAAGCTAGACGGGCAAGAGAAGCAATTGAACGCACCTTCCTGAAGAGTTCGATCCGTTCCTCCATCGAGCAAGGAGCAGCTTTAGCTAACATGGCCCCGATGCCCTTGATGTCGTAGTCGCGGACAAAGGTTAAAGCGTATTCAGGCACCGGCTTGAACTTTCCGGTAACCGTGAAGGCGCCCGTGGCACCGCCCCGTCGGCTGCCTGCCATGCTTGCTCGGATCGGCGTATGCGGATGCGGATGCGTCGGCGGCGGGGAGGAGTGGATGGAGTATGGCTGATGGCTAGGGTTTGCTAGCGGAGACGGTTGCGCGTACTTATTATTATGCGCATGATTTTTTTTTAGCAGAAAAGTATCCTTTATTGAAAGTTCAAACACATAGGGATACAGATAATATCGGATAGAGTAGCAAGCCACACATGACGCCCGGGAGGGAGAGAAGCAGCCGCCTTAGCTAAGGCATGAGCTTCCTCATTTTGTTTCCTATTCTCATGCACAAACTGAATATCTTGGATCGAACGCCTCCTGTGCTTGATCTCCTCCAAGATAGCAACATATCGACAAGGGGCACCAGTATGGATATTGGTGATCACCTTAAGACAGTCCGATGCAACACACACGGATTGAACATGGAGGTCCTCAGCAAGAGCAAGGGCCTCGTTGCACGCCTGGGCTTCGAGTATAGTTGGGTCCAGCAAACCCTCGAAAATAACCACGGAAGCACCCAAAAACATACCGTGCTTGTCCCTACAGACCACCGCCGAAGCTCCTGGGTCCCCAACCTTGAAAAAACCGCCATCAACATTAATCTTCACGTCATGCTTCGCCGGCGGGAGCCAGGTCGTCCGAACTGACCGGACGCACTGCGCTGATTCTCCCCAGGCCGTTACATGCAGGTCCCTGGCCGTTACATGCAAGTCCCTGGCCGTAGCATGCATGTCCTTGGATTTTGCAGTTCGGTCCCTGGGTCGTTCCTTCTCGCCGGGGATCGCCTCCAGCTCTGACAAGAATTTCTCAATGAACATGTGCGTACTTAGTGGACTTTGGTACTGATCATCGTGGATAGCTCGACGTCGTGCCCACCAAATAGCCCACATCGTCACGAGGACGCGCGCAAGCTCCATCAAAGGAAGAGTATCAACGAGCCACAACATCCACAGCTTTGCGTCGTCTGTCTGGTTCGAGACAATGGTTTCCGTGAGATCCTCATCAGCTAGTGCCCAAACGCATCTCGCCATCTTGCAATCAAAGAACGAATGACGCCACGTATCCACCGCCACTTTGCATAAGGCGCACTCCGGTGTTTCAGCCGTGCTCCGGTGCTTGCGAACTTCTCCTGTAGGGATGGAAGATTTGGCCAATCTCCATGCAAAAATTCTCACTTTGGAGGGACCGAAGCTCCCCACAACTTTGTCCAAGATCGGCGGTCCGACTCGAGGCACGAGTGGCCGTTGTTATGCTCTAACCAGTCCGTCCGCTGTTGCTTTGTGGAGGCCAAGAGTCTATATGCAGACCGTACTGTGAAAACACCCCTTTTCTCATAATGCCAAGACCAGAAATCATCACGGACTCTTGAGCTTAATGGGATATTAAGAATTGCTTCGACGTCCATGGGGAAGAGGTGCTGATCAAGGACATCTCGGTCCCATGTCATGTTAACTGAATCAATAAGGTCCCATACCTTGTGAGGAGGGTTCAAGGACTTTGGGCAAACCGGCCGAAGCTTAAAATCATGTGGAATCCAATTGTCAATCCATATGTTTGTGTCCTCCCCCGAACCAATCCGTTTCACAAGTCCCAACTTCAAAGTGTCTCTGCCTTCAATTATGGATCGCCAAACTTGTGAAGGATGATTGCCCACTTCTGCATCAAGGATGGTGGAAGAAGGGTAGAAGACAGCCTTGAGGATCCGCGCACTCAAAGAGGTGGGTTCCTGTAGGAGGCGCCAGGCCTGCCTGACCAGTAATGCCAGGTTAAAAAGCTCGATATCTCGAAAATCCATTCCTCCCATGAACTTTGCTTGTGTCATGACCTCCCAAGAGACCCAGGTAGTCTTTCTTTCTCCCTTTTTTGAGCCCCACCAGAACTTACATAGCAGCCCGTTAATATGTTGGCATAATCCTCTAGGCAGTTTGAAACAGGCCATGGAGTAGGTAGGAATAGCTTGGGCAACAGATTTAATAAGCACCTCTTTGCCCCCAACGGACAAAGTTTTCTCCATCCAACCTTGAATTTGCTTCCAAATTCTATCTTTCAAATACTTGAAAGCACCCTCTTCAGCCCGGCCTACATCAGAGGGGAGACCAAGATATTTCTCAGAGAGCTGCTCATTCGGAACATCCAAAACTTGCTTGATTTTCTGTCTCACGAATTCAGCACAGCCCTTGCTGAAAAAGACGTATGATTTATCTTTATTTATACGTTGACCCGAAGTAGAGCAATACCTTTGCAGAAGATCATCCACCCGTTTTGCCATCTCCGGTGTAGCATTAAAGAAAAGAAGGCTATCATGTGCAAAAAGAAGATGGTTTACCTCCGGTGCACCTGCTGCCACCGTGATGCCTGGTATCCTCTCAGTTGGAAGCATGGATTTCAACAAACATGAAAGGCCCTCAGCCGCCAGTAGGAAAAGATATGGAGATATAGGATCTCCCTGCCTCAAACCGCGCGATGGTGTGAAGTCTTCTTGTTTCCCTCCATTGAAGATAACAGAAAAGGATACTGAAGAGACACACCTCATCACAATTTCTGTGAACTTTGGGCTGATCCCCAATTTTAACATAACCCTTTCCAAGTAATTCCACTCTAGACGATCATAGGCTTTCATCATATCAAGTTTCAGAGCACACCACCTATTTCCCTTGAGCTTCCTTGTTTTCATGTAGTGTAGGCACTCATAGGCTGAGATAAAATTGTCGGTGATTAGACGACCAGGTACGAATGCCGACTGTTCTTCTGAGATGATATCGGGGAGAATAAGTTTGAGCCGATTGGCCAGGACCTTTGATGCAATCTTGAAAATCACATTACAAAGGCTGATCGGTCGAAACTGTCCTAAGTTTTTTGGACTTGCGATCTTGGGTATTAAGACAATGAACGTTTTGTTTATCTCCTCCGGGGAATCCTCTCCACTCAGAACACGTAGCACCATATCGGTTACCTCCTCACCACATAGATCCCAATGCCATTGAAAAAATGTGCAGGGAAGCCGTCGGGTCCAGGAGCCTTTGTAGGAAACATTTGAAAGAGAGCCTCCTTGCCCTCGGCGTTGTGTAACGAGCCGTCAGAATATTGTTCATGGCATCATCCACTTTCCTTGGTATATGAGACAAGACTTCCTCTATCCCAACCGTATTCTCGGAAGCATACAAGTTACTATAAAAGGTCGTGGCCATGCTAGCCATTTCATGCTCGTCTTTGCTTACAGAGCCATCCACCCGCTGCAGTTCTGTGATACGATTGCGGACCTTCCTTGCACTAGCTTTGCGATGAAAGAACTTGGTATTGCTATCACCTTCCGCCAACCATTGAATACGGGCTCGTTGACGCCACATAATCTCCTCCCGCAGACATAACTCGGTCATCCGAGCTTCGACCCTTTTTTCCTCATCAGATGGGCCGACTCGGTTGGGCATAGCAAGCAGGTCCTGCAGCTGTGCCCGCAGCGCCCGCAGCTCCGCCCGGACTGCACCGAAAGTGGTGCGACCCCAGCGCTGTAGAGTGCCGGCGACCGAGGCCAGTTTCTGCGATAAATCAGCAACAGTCGATGCTCGGCCGGTAGCATTCCAAGCATCGGTGACCACATCTCCAAATCCTGGGTCCCGCTCCCACATACACTCGTATCGAAATTGTTTTTGTCGTGCTCTAACACTTGTGTCCACCAGATCAGTATCCAACAGTATTGGGCAGTGGTCGGACTTGGCTGCCGTGAGGTGTTCCACAGTGGCGAAAGGAAAAAGTCCTGACCAACAAGCTGTTGCTAAAGCTCGGTCCAGACAAACTCTGCAATAGTGACCACCAGCCACTTTTTTCTCCCAAGTCCAGTCTAGGCCCCTGTAACGAAGATCAGCAAGACCACACACATCCACCGCTTCTCTGAAAGCTTCGATCTGGCTACTATCCCGTTCATTAGGGCCATGTTGTTCATCAACTCTCAAGATCTCATTGAAATCACCTATGCACATCCATGGGAGGGTACTCTCCCCCCCTTAGTCTCGTCATTGTGTTCCATGTTTTATACCGCAAACTTCTTGTTGCTTCTCCATAAAAACACGTCAACCTCCATAGTTCCCTGCCTGGTTCAGTAACCCAGGTGTCCACATGATACTCTGAATAATTCTTTATTGCAACATCAATAGAGGTTTTCCAAAAGATACAAATGGCGCTGCTGCGACCAGTACTACCAACACCAAAGCTGAAATCAAAACCTAAGGAAGAACGAAGACCCTCAACACGAGCCTTTTGTAACTGAGTTTCTACTAAACAAAGGATAGATGGCGAGCTGATCTCAAGGAGATCACGGAGTTCGCGAACTGTCGCGGGATCGCCTATCCCGCGGCAGTTCCAACTTAGTATTTTCATTGGGCCTGGCGGACCCCCTGGTCGGAGCCCGCCAATGTCTCCATCTTGTCATTGCTCTTCTTTGAGGGAGAGCGGCCCTTCCTTTGTTTCTTGACATCTCGTGGTGAGACATACACCGGGGGTAGCGGTGGGGTTGCACCCTGGGCGGTGCCAGCAAGAGCCAAATTTTGGGCCTCATGTGATATAGCCGTAGAGCCCGGCCGAACCATCAGTGCCGCTGCGTTGGCACTCTCCGACATCGCTGCATCTAGGTTGCGTCAAGCCCCCACTTACTCTCTGACCTCGTTCCCGTTGCAGCCGTTTTGAGGGGGCTGGTCACATCGTCCTCCTCTGCCTCTGAATCCAGGCCTGCCTCCTGCGATGATCTCTTTCGGGGGGCGAGTTTTGGCGACATTTCGGACCTGTACGTCTCGCCCTGCCCCTCCCTCGTCCTCGTCACACTAATCTCTCAGCCCATTTTTTGGTTTTCTAGGGGTATCCAATTATTGGAAGCCAGAAAAAATGCTATCATTGTCTCAAAAAAAGAAGGAAAAAATGTTATCCTTTTTCCTCTAGCTAGGGCTAGTCTTCCTCCCGGGGAGATCTTTTCGCCGCCATCGAGTTCTGAACTCCACTGCCTTCAATCTCCA